ACCTCTGATGACTCTAGTGAGAAGAGTGTTCTTCTGGATTGGAAGTAATCTTGGGGGAGGAATTACAGTCCCAGAATCTCCCTCCTTTTAGAGTAGTAGGTGAAATAGATAGAAAGGCCAAGCACCTTGGGGTTCATAAATCTTGTGATCTTTGCTATATTCAGCTTTAAAAGGAGTGAAAGAAGGTCACTTTCCCCTATAAGTATCCTACAGTGGGAGCATTAGGATAATTCAAGTGCCCCAGTCTTGTCAGTGTCTGCTGTCTGTGCTCTGAGCATGTCTTTCAAATAGGAGTTAGGCTTCTGGGATGTAGGCTTAGGCAGGTGCCTAGCCACTGGGCTAGAAAACAAAGCTGTTCTGGTTCTGCCGGAAAGCAACTTTTCTAAACCAAACAGGGAGATCCTAAAGAACTTAAACACATTACTAAAACAGCAGGTTTTCTGGATAACAGTTTTGTACCTGAACACTTTAATTTTTCTAAGGTGACAGGTTGCTTAAGGCATTCTTTGCATCTGGCATTCTGCCCAAAACATTATGGCATTTCAGAGCAAATATACCTATTATTTGTTTAGCTGTTCTGTGCACACAGAATGCTGGAATTGCAATTAAATAAAGGCTGTCATCAAAATATAAGTTGGTGTGGCTCAACAACCTCTGGAAACAAACTTTAATAAAGATAGTATATTTATTAAGATAAATAGGGCTTGATCTCTAACCTCATCTTTACCGAGATTGATTTTTAAAAAATTTTTTTAAAGATCTGGTAATTTTACGTTTTATTTATTTCTCTTCCCCTTTTAGTCAGGACCAGGATTGTTATAAAAAATTTACAAATATTCAGTTGATATTTCCCAATATCTTGCATACATACAGTTATTTTCAGCTGGAAGCAAGTCTGTTGTAAAGGCTGCCTGTTTTCACAAGAAGTCCGTTCTATTGTAAAGATCACAGAGGAAGAGGCAAGCATTCGGGCTACCTCATGTCCCCAGTGTTTGAAACATTCCCATAGGTAATGAAGATGCTCCTGTGCTTAAAGCCCATTTACAGTTTGAATGGCAACCAGCCTCACATGCTGCTTCATACAGACCCCATTCATGTTAATGCCTACACAGAACAGATGAGAACAATGCATGATTATGGACACAATTATAAGCCATCTGGATTTACAATAACATTTATGTGTACAATATTTGACAACATTTCTTATTTCTATTGAAAGTAACTATTTGCATTCCCATGCTCTGTCATGACAATACGGAAAGTATCACAAGAGATCCTGAAGGAGGTAATAATTTCCCATCAGTTAGTGAATTTTCTGCTAACTCTTTCATCTGTCGGGCCACTTTCAAATGTTTTCCAAGGTGTGTGTAATACTGTCCATTTCAAAATAGCCCCCAGATACATTAAAGACCCTTAAGAAATAGGTGCCTGAGTTGCATTAGTTTGACTGCACTGAAAGTCAACAGGAGGTAGTTGCCCAGTTCCTTTACTAGCTCTTGACAGGTAACTTTGTCTCTCATTCTTTTTACTTGACGTTTTATATATGTATATACCCATTTTTTATATATAATATGTAAAAATGTAGGAATGCTTCTATATATAGAATACCAATATCTATTATTGGTATACCAATCTCTAGCAGTTACTTCTGAAATTACAAAGAGTTTGGTAGAGTTTTGTGAATGTTTTGACCAAAAAGCGCAATTACAGTACTAAAGCACTATGAAAAGGTAATTCTGCTTTTGTGGTATGTACTAGCACTCAAGTAGAGAAATACTTCATTGTGAGAAAAATGCACAAAACTCAGATGAGAGATTTTATTGAATATAATCCTCAAAGCAAAATAAAGCTGTAACATTTATTAAAACAAGACACCATTTGATATCTCGGTTTAGTCTGTGTATAGTTCAGCGAAGTATTACAAACAAGGTGATAAAATATGTAGTGAAACATTGGAAAAAAAAAATTGCTAGTATAGAGCAGTAAGCTGAATATTTATATACCCACAGTCTACGAAGACACACAGTTTGTGTGAGGAACCCCCTTTGTGCCTGTTTCAGACTGATTTTGGCCTTCTTGAACACTGCTCCAGCTGCATATGCCATTCTAGCTGAGGTCTCCCTAGTGTCTTGTACACTAGCGCTGTGTTCTTTGTCTCTGCCGGTACAGTCTCTGCCCAAAATATCCTATTATTTTGTTTCTCTTTCTCACTGTTGTGTTAGATTAGGGCTGAATGGCTAGTTCATAGTCCCCTTGAGTGGTTTTAATTTGTTTTTAGTGTGTCTACAGTGTAGACGTATGTATCTCAGCTGATCAGCCTGAACTCCTCCAGTAGTCTCCGAAGTCACTGGAGATCAAATTAATGGAATCTAAGACATGATTCATTTCATCGTAAAGAAGGTGTCTAACATGGGTCAAAGGAATCACACCTTAAAATACTTATTTTTCTTCTTTGACTGTAGAAAAAACCAACTAGTATGTCAAGGACAGATTTAGACATTGCAGATATCCAAATCAAAAGAAAAATAATTCTACTTCTTGTGATTCAGAATACTTGCCCTTTTTTTTTTTTTTCATTTATGTCTTCGCATTTTCTTTTCTTTTCTACTGCCCCAGTATATTCTCTTAATATTTTAAATCTCTAGGCATATCTTCATGCTTTAATCATAATTAAAGCATGCCTTAACTAATACAGGTGGTTCTGTAAGAACTATAGGATAGTACCTATACCATTTTATATTAAAGTTACTGATTTTACCATGTAAAGTTGAAAGTCACTGAAATGAAGTTAGGAGATTTACAGTGCTGTAAAAGCAGTAGGCTGTAAGAGCCCATCCTACTTCTACAGAATAATATTCCAAATAGTGTTCCCACTTACTTTAATAGTGCAGTTTAGAACGCGGATGAATCTCCAGTATAAAACAAAGCGAATCAAGACGGAGCTAATGCATCCTTTAACTGATGACAATTTTATTTATATATGCAGACACACATACACAGAGGCACCCCTCTGCATGAGCAGGTTATCAGTCTGTCATTTCTTGTTTATGGTAATGAGTTCACTTTGTTTTAGTTTGTCAACTTTAAAACTATCTACAGCTTAATGAATAGATGTAATGAGCCCCATGAAGGTTATTAGGAGCTGAAAGTGTATGCAGAATAAAGCAGTAAGAAATGATGCATGGGCTGTTTGGTTTCATGGCATCTCCAACAACATGAAGATGTAAGATGCTTGTAAAATATTTTGAGATCCTTAGATTAAAGCTGACTTAACCTAAATTAAAGCATGTGGACTTTATATAGGTGATGACGTGTATACACGTACAGATGTATATTGATAGGCAAAGCCCTACACAAACTGAATATATGACTGAATTGTGAGTATTCAGGCCAGTAATTATATGCTATAGAGATAATATTCTTGAGATAATACATTAAACATATCCCAATGATCAAGTGAAACATAGGATAACTGAATTAGATAGCACTATAGCTTCTCAATTTCAAGCTCTTATTTTCTCTGCTACCCAAAGTACGTTTCAGTGGTTAATGACAGTGCTATATCCAAAGTTTTTCAAAACGCTAGTGTGGTACAGCATGTTTCTGTATGGCAAAGAGCTGCACTTAAAGCAGCATTGCTAGCCAGTCCCAAAAAAATGAGTCAGGGTCCTTTTTCTTCTCTCTGTTACCTTCTCCTCATCTCCAAATCCATGTCTGCCACTTAATCACTGCTACTCCAGTAGTAGAAAGTAGAAAGCTCCAGCCAGTCTTTCACTTTATTCTTCTGCTGTTCTGATCCCTTTAAAGATTTCCATGCAAGTCACTGAGAGAACTTTCTTGAGAAGATTCACATTAATCACCCAGTAAGCTTGTACATCTGAAAAAAAGAGTTCTACCTTCCTTTTCTTCCTCTCCAAGGTCTAGCAGTTGCGTACAAAAATGACCTCAATTCAGGAGCCTGCCTTGGTTACAATTACAAGAGCCTTCTGCATGACTTGAGCTAGCTAATTAAAATTCTCGTTAAAGTCTGAGGCATTGAAGCAAAGAGCCAATATATCATTTCTCACCGCTTTACAGTTTATATATTTTCAGCATCTAATAGCCTTCATAGGGATCATTGCATTCATTCATAAGGCTGTAAGTAGTTATATTCTGGCCCATATTTCCAAAAACATCCCTTAAATTTGGCATAACTGCGATGTTCTGGACTCATAAAGCCCATCCAACAAAGTCCTCAGTGTACATGCATATGTGGTTTCTGTTCAGTTAGTTAGTTAAGATGTAAAATTTTCCAGTCACTGAAGATAACTGCTTTTGACTGTTTAGCCCCAGCTTCTGATGCATGTGATCTCAGGATTCTTCTCTGATGTCTCTAAAGTTTCCAAGATCCTTATATTGTGTCAGACTAGAAACATGGGGCTCTTCCTCACCTCTGTTGTTCTTTGAGGGACACTACTTCTTCTGCCAGATATCTCAGCCCAAAACATGTTTTTGCAGGATGTTGACAAGATATTGCATATTTGAAAATAGCTACCCCTGAGTTTTTATATTTCACAGATAAAAATTAAGCCCACGTATATCCAAATACATGTTGTTTGGTTTTGTGTATACATATGTGGGAGGAGATGTAGTCTAGAGATCTGTATATAGTTGCATCTCCATGAAGAGAGTAATCAGAGGAATAATTTCTTAGTTTTAGAGGCTAACTCAAGTTAAATAGTGAAAATTATTTCTTTTTTCACCTTTCACCTCCGTGGACTTCCAGCCATATCTGCACACAGAACTGTTACACAGTTGTAATGAGAAAAGAATGTGATTTGCAATAGGTGCCCCTCAGAGGGTAGTGACCTCTAAACTAAAGAAAAACTGGTCTCATTTCAAGTATATCTTACTGTCCTTTTTACTTTTAATATGTTTCTGTGTCTAATGGATTAACAAGGATTGGAAGGCATAGTGAATCTGAAACTGGTTTTTAATTAAATATTTTCACTTGTTTTCAGTATACGTCTGCTCTGACCTATGATGCTGTTCAAGTGATGACAGAAGCTTTCCGTAATTTGCGTAAACAGAGGATTGAGATCTCCAGAAGAGGAAATGCTGGAGATTGTCTTGCAAATCCAGCTGTACCCTGGGGTCATGGTGTAGAAATAGAAAGGGCATTGAAACAGGTAGCTTCCCTGGAGTGAATGCTGGGATGAGTGCATGTGTGAAATTCTCTATGAATGCTTGAAAAGAGCCTTCCAGTCTCCTAACCTGCCTGGATCTTGCTGGGAATAATGTGGAAGTGAACTCCTCAGGAACATGTCTTATACTAAGATAATATATTGGCTATGGAAAAGAGTCTAAAATGAATGTTTTTGAAATATCAGTAATCATTTCTGGAAATGCAAAATGCATTTTCTAAAAAGAAATGAAATTAATTCTTCTACCACTTTCATCTTCATCTATATAGGTTCAGGTGGAAGGTCTAACAGGGAATATAAAGTTTGATCAGAATGGAAAGAGAATCAATTTTACAATAAACATCATGGAACTCAAAAGTACTGGTCCTCGGAAGGTAATTTGACTTGTCTTACAGTGTCTTTAAAGGTTTTACCATGCTAAGCAGTGGGTTAAGGTAGGTCATGAAACACTATAGATTAATTAAAGCATGAGTTGTGATAATATTTATTCATAGGTGTATTCTACAATGGTCTTGCAGAACAAAGTAAAAATACATATAATTTCTTTCTAACAAGTTGTTATTTCTGGTAAGTACTACATAAGAGTATTTTTCTTTCAGTTTTGTGGATTAAACTTTTTGCTTTCTGATTTGAATTGCTAAACGTGAGCCAGTAGTTGGGGAAATACGCTTCTGAATGACAAATGCAGAATACAGCTTTTCAGTGATATTTCTTTAAATGTGATTATCTTTCTGCTCTAATGCCAAACCTTTCAGGAAAAGCCAGTTTCTCATGTCTTCCTAATCTGGAGTATTTCATAACCCTTTCAGTCCTACAGTGTGTGATGTTGATACTAAAACCTGTTTATATGTGAATGAAAATGGTATACCTGTATTAGACAAATTAATGTGAACAAATTTCATTAATTCAATCTTGTTACTATTTGTTATAGTCTTTAACTACATAAATAGAAATATTTACACTAGTAAATCCATAGCTAAAATAGTTCTCTGTGAGCATAAATCAAGGGCATAGTAATAACATGCTTTAACTTTTCTATGAAAGTTCATATTCACTGTTATCTGTGCATCCTATAAACTCTCTTTAGATTGGATATTGGAGTGAAGTGGACAAAATGGTTGTGAATCCTCTTGATGGCCCTCTCGGAAATGAATCTTCAGGACTAGAGAATAAGACTATTATTGTCACCACTATTTTGGTAATTAACCTCATATTTTGCCAGAAGACAGTCTGTCCTACAGTGATTTGTTTCTCGTCGTTATGTTAGTTTAAATATACTGTCTTTTTATTATTTGAGGTTGTGACCTGTTACTTATTATGATACATAAATAAAATCTGGAAATTAAGGAAATGTACGTGATTCAGTATGTGGTTTTGTTCTGTAGAAGACAAATGGTCATTGATTGAACATCCTAGAAAGTTAAAATTTTTAGACCTGAAAATAGAAATGAGATACCTGCTTTCAAAGGAGAGAACTTTGTCTGAGAGGCAGAACCATAGTGTTAGTTTCAGAGAATGGATTTTGCCAAGCAGGAAAGAGACTGGTTCTTGTGCTTCAGAATTGTAGCTGCTATGGATTGGTGAAGTGTAAAAATAAAACATTAGAAGTTGTATTCTAGTTGTCTAGAAAGTAACGTTATGTACTGTCATAGAACAGCATTTTTCTGTAAGTTACACAGCTTCTTTATCAGTTTGGACAAGTCAACAGGCTAGCATAGGAATTTCGCAGGATGCAAGAATAGTTTGGTAACAACTGCACAAAGAGGAGATACGTTACTTTAATATGACTTATGACTCATCACCAGTTTTGCTGATCATAGAACTTTACTGCATAGTTATAGGTATCTTACCTATGGTTTGCGTAGTAACTCAATAAAGATATAGCCTGGAGAGCCTGAAGTGTTTTCCCAGGGAGAGATGTGGTTGTAAAATAGGAAGGAATTTTCTTGTATTAAGACAACAACAAAAGCAACTAAATACCTTTGCCTTCTTCCATCCAAACTGTGTGAGAGAAAGAAACTGATTTCGGAACTTACTCTTTCTTCTCTGAATGCATAACTCCTGTTAACATTCATGGTCATTATTAACATACTGCTGGGAATCACTATACCTGTAAGTATTGTTATTTGTATATGACTGGAGAATGCAGCTTTTAAATGTTATGGACATGTTACATTAGTAATTACCAGCTAACATATACGTGGTATGTATGATTCAAATGTTATCTTCTTTTTGTTTCACGTGTAAAAGGAAAAATTAATCTATGAAGTGCACAGCTCATACATCTGTGTCTTTACCAAGTAGCTAAGGCAAGTTCTTTCTGTGCAGGAGTCCCCGTACGTCATGATGAAGAAAAATCATGAAATGCTTGAAGGAAATGATCGATACGAGGGCTATTGTGTGGACTTAGCTACAGAAATTGCTAAACACTGTGGATTCAAATATAAGCTGACAATTGTTGGGGATGGCAAGTATGGGGCAAGGGATGCAGACACGAAAATCTGGAATGGGATGGTTGGAGAACTTGTTTATGGGGTAAGAAAATCTTTTATAATAAAGCCATTAAAGATGACTGATGGAAGAAGTGGGATTTGGTTTTGCTTTCTCTGTAGAGTAGAGGAAAATTATCTAATTCCTTTGATAGAGAATTAGTAACTTGAGTTGGCATGAAAAATTTTGAAAGTAAAGCATGGAATTAGATTTTAAAATGCAAATTAAATTGGGGAAAGTGAGTGCATATTTCATCCTTCTGACCAGGTGAAAGGCAAAGTACTTTGCTAACACTTTTAAATGTCATAGACTTTTAAAAGGGCATGTGTAAAAAGAGAAGCTTGGAATATGCCAACCATATGGTTATATGTATTTCAGTAAAAAGAGTTTCAACTAAAACTTTCTGAAATTCTCCATAGGACATTCTTGGTGAAATGAATGTTGCTGGTGTCTCTGCTGTCCTATTTTCCATTTATGAAATGCAACAGAAACTAAACCATTCTTTGCTCTGATCATTGTATTAGCTATTATTTGCTTTATTCTTCCTTTACAGAAAGCCGATATTGCAATCGCTCCATTAACTATAACATTGGTGAGAGAAGAGGTGATTGACTTCTCAAAGCCCTTTATGAGCCTGGGGATATCAATAATGATCAAGAAGCCTCAGAAGTCCAAGCCAGGAGTGTTTTCATTTCTTGATCCATTAGCGTATGAAATCTGGATGTGCATTGTTTTTGCCTACATTGGGGTCAGTGTAGTTTTATTCCTGGTCAGCAGATTTAGCCCATACGAGTGGCACACTGAGGAGTTTGAAGATGGAAGAGAAACGCAAACTAATGAATCAACTAATGAATTTGGGATATTTAATAGTCTTTGGTTTTCCCTGGGTGCCTTTATGCAGCAAGGATGCGATATTTCGCCAAGGTTGGTTACTCGCCCATTTTAACTTTGTGCATTTTTGGTCTCAGCCGTCTCAGCCCGAGGAGGTTCATGGTGCATATATTTTCACTCTTGGAAAGAAATTAATTAATATGCCTTTTCCCTCCCTAAAATCACAAAAGTCCTTGAAATAAAAGCAGTTGTCTGTGACATAGGGTCATGATGTATTTAATTGATACTGTCTTAACATCGATCATACATTTGCTAAGTGAAGTTATATACACCATGCAGAGACTGTAAAATGCATAAGGTTCAAGTCATTCCATGCCTTCTTGGAGGGGTACCGTGTTTTTGCTGCATATTCCCATTTTACAGTTGACAGTGCATATGGTTCACAACAACTGTAATGGGAAAAAAGGGTAACATACCAGTCACGAACTACACAGGCAGCACTTTCCCTCTAAAACTCACTACATATCATAACATAGTTATTAACCCACTGTTTTCCTACTGGAGAGTCTTGAACTGAAATAAGTCATGTGATGGCTCTAGTTCCATGTGAATAGTTGCAAAACACTGATGTTTTTCCATGGCCTAGTTTTAGAAAAGTCACAAAGGATATTGCTAAAATGAATTTGAAGGTCTAGTTTATAAATGCTTAATTCCTCATGGATTTTCACCTACTTCTATTAAGGACAACTGTAAAGCACTTAAGTTAATTCCTCTGCAGCTCATTAAATATTCTATTTTCCTTGTGCACAAGTGGTTCTAGCCTTGATTCAGCAACGTGGTAAGTAGGTAGGTAAATAACTACTTGCTGCTTGAAGGAACTATAGTGACCAGTGAAACAGAGCAACTGGGTTTAAGGAAGTCAAATCAGAAGAGCTACCTAATTATACTAAGCAATTTAACTTTCTTCTAAACATCCTAAAGTAAGACAGGGAACAGGTCAATTTCTAGAGAGTCTAGTGGCTAGTGTGCAAAATAAATCACACCAAGGGAGTATTTCTTAGATATAAGTTGTGCATCCCAAAAGGCAACAGCGGGTTTTCAAGTTGTTCTACTGTGGAAATAGCAGAGCATTTATTGTGTGAGAACTTAGCAATTCTGTGTAAAGGCTGACATATCACAATGAAATATGCCAGCCTTTATGATGAAAGATAGGACAGATTTGGCATATAACACCATAAGAATTGTATACAAGAAATGACACAGTGAAGAGAGAGACAATCATTTCAGGCCATGAGAAGCTGTGTTAATTCCAGTCCTTTGGGGTTTTTGTATTGACTACACTCTTCACAGGTTTAGTTGTCTGCAAAGTCCTCTATTAGCTACAAAATTATTTTTATTGAATCAAGGCCATAGTAGAATAATGATCTTTTTTGTTATTATTATTTTACTGGCTATTAAAGCATGACAGTTGCTGTGCGTGATTTGATAACTTTTGAAAGGTGATGTAAGAATAATGCTAGTAAATGGTCATCATAAAAGGTGCATGAAACTATAATCATTTTGGTTTCATTTAGTTTCACTGAGGTGTTTAACAGCACTTTATTTCATTACAAACATATTTTTGAGGAAAGCGGTTAGTTTGTATATTATCTGTTTATTATAAAAATAGAAAAGGGCTGAAAACACCTCAGTTATTTTTGTTCTTGCACCAAAACCATCACTATGGAATTTGAACTCTCTGCAAATGAATTAGAGCAGATATGAAAAGGAATCTCTTCAGACATCAGCAAAATGTCTTTGTGAAGTTAAGTTTTGCACTATTGCAACTATCATTTCTCTAATAAAAGTGACAACCACTGTAAGAATTGTAGAGTAGACAAGTAACTAGGGCTTTCTGACTCTGAAATAAAAAGTGGTGCTCAGTAAGACTGGACCACCTGGAAAGTGGCCTGCAGTAGCAGTCCCCATGTTGCCTTGTAGCACAGAAACAATAGGAGAGGATAGGATAGTGATATAATAATGATAACTTAGCAAAGTTTTCCTCATCTTTTTTGAGATGTGAGCATACTCTCAGTACTGCCATGTAATACCTTTGTAAGTATAAAGTGTAGTGGACAAATTTAGCTAATTGTGCACAGAAATTGTTATTTTAGTATTTAATGATCTGATTAATGAGGTGCTTGTACAATTGTATGTTCATACTGGCGTATAATTATCAATCTTTAGAAACTTTTTGAAATGTACATAAAAAAATAAATTATTTATTTAACTGGGACAGACCTTATGGGAAAATTTTGAACACAAATGAGACTCAAAACAATTTTACTTATAAAATGTCATGTGGGAGCATAATGTCCAGATTGGCATTGAGCTTATTCTTTTTTTACAAAGTCGGTAGAGACTTTGTTTGCTGACAGATCATGGGCTTTTGAATATTACTATAATTTATAGCAGATGTCATCAATGCAATATAAAGTGCTATAAAATCAGCAGTTATTAAATACATATTGTCAAAGATTTTACCTTGCAAATATATATTTATCATATAATTAAATCTTTTAATTGTAGAATTATTTTGTGCTCAGATTACCTCCATGTCAAAGTAAGTATATAATATTTTTTCAAAGGTGGCAGAAGGCATATTTGCAGAATACATCTCAGTTTAGAAGAAACTTAAAATAATTTCTTTTCTATGGTCCTTTTTAATAACATATTCTGGACCTTATCTGACTTGATTTTCATGTAGTAGAGAGTGAATTCGTGAGTCCGTTGTGACATAGAATAAGTCTTTTCACGTCTGGATTATCACAGAGATTTTTTACAATAGCAATTAGTAAAAATTATTTGTCCAGAGTTGGTTCTGTTTACTTTGTTCCCAGTTTAATAAATCAGCTTTACATAACTATCATGTTTTAATGTGGAGAGAGAGAGAGAGAGTTATATCTATCTATATATCTATATAAATATTTTGTCAGAATTAGTTTGAAATCTCATTCACAATACAGCAGGTTGGGTAAGTGATGTGTAATTTGTTTACTTAATAGATAGAGGAGACATATCAAGACATACCTAAGCTACTTCAGTGCCTTAGTACTAGACTTTCAACTACATGCACATTTCTGCCAAATAATTAAGGACATCTCCAAAGGTTATGTACTCCTTCCTATAATGTCTTGTTTGGAAACAAAGTAGTAAGTAATTTCAAAGTTTAAAGGATCATTAAAAAAAAGTCAAGTTTGACAATAATGGCAGTATCAATAATTCTCTTCTGTTAGTTTTCTAGTATTGAAAATCATTGAATTTCTCTAGTTGTGTGCTCTATACTGTTTCATATATTTTCTTGAGTTCTCTTTTCTTCTCTCTTCTTGAGCAGGAGATGCAAAACAAAGATCCATAAGAGCCCACCTGCTGCAGTTAAAAACATCAGATTATTTTAAAATATTAAACTTTCTTCACCATTTTTCTGTATTATCACTGATTGTTTCATTTCCAGTCCTCAGTTTGTTAAATGCTTGTATCTTTCAAAAGTTGTGTGCACTTTTTAGTTTATGGATATTCCCTGGGCCAGTTTTTATTGCAAATAATGCTATTTGTTTCTCAGTATAGATTTTCCACAGCAGCATAAGCCATTGTTTTGTGGAAATCAGTCTTTGTCTGAATGTCTTAGGAAAATAAGCAAGCTAAAGGCACTTAATTTTTAAGTGCATACTGGTTTATCTGAAAGCACTGTTTCACTGATTTTGTTTGATCCTCTTCATAATGTCACACAAATTCACTTCAGAGGGAGCAACAAGCTTGTGTTAAATATAGCAGATTACGATGGGAGCAGTTTCCTTTCAGGATGTGTTCAGGACTTTGAAGAACTGGATCACTAAATTCTCCCTAAAGTAAATTCTGGAGTCCTGATTTCAGCAAAGTCCAGGAGATATAGCGGAGTATGCATTGATTCCCATCTGATTAGCATGCAGAGCTGCACTATGAGATAGCCTGAAATGCTTCCCTATAGTATAATGCATCATTTGCATAAAACTGATAACATGTGTTCCTTTTTAGGACTTTCATTTCACTTTACAAATCCATTTCATACTTGTTATTAGATCCCTGTCTGGGCGCATTGTTGGAGGTGTGTGGTGGTTCTTTACCCTCATCATAATCTCATCCTACACGGCTAACTTAGCTGCCTTCCTGACGGTTGAGAGGATGGTGTCTCCCATTGAAAGTGCAGAGGATCTTTCCAAGCAAACAGAAATTGCTTATGGGACATTAGATTCTGGCTCCACTAAAGAGTTTTTTAGGGTAAGAATTTCTATTTTTTAGATTTCTTTTTTGTTTTAAATAGGTCTTCACTCATGTAAATGTGTTTTCCCTAGGCTTTATTAAAAGGTTGCTATAAAAATGTGATATGTGCAGCCTAACTCACAAGTATAAGTGGTTTTGTTTAGCCATCATCCTTACATTTTATTATCTATATATAAATATAAGGGTCATGTTATAAATATGCAAGGCAAAAGTGGCTGCAAGGTATTACCTAAAAACTATTCCACTGCAAAGTAAAAAACAAGATATGTTCGGAGAAGGGAGTTGATGTCGTTCATCTAAGCTGTAAGACAGGAGCTAATGATTATAAACAAGGCTGTTTAATATCTGTGCTATATTTTAGGTAGTGAATAGGGACATAGGAAGGTGCACAGTCATGTTTTAATATCTGTTTCACATGATTTTTCAAGCTTGCAGATGGGGAATGGGATACAACCCTGTTGGCTGCTGTAATAAATCCATGCCTGCTTTTGAAAACAGTTACTATTTGTATTTGCACTACAGTAACGCCTTGGAAGCCTGTCAGTCCTCACCTTCTACCTCTGTGTATTTCAGTTTTAAAAATGCATGAGACTTCCAATGTGTGAGTCTCAGGCTGCCCTTGAGACACCAGCTAACATGGTGAAATCCATCCAGCAAATGAGTGAGACACTACGGCTGCTGGGAAAAACACCGTGACTGTTTTGCCTTGTCTGTGTGCTCTGTGTGTCTCTCTCCCTGTAAGATGGAAGCGGATCTGACATGCTACAAACACGAGAAACCTGTTGTTTTCATGTTTCTCAACAAAACGTATTTTAAAATAGTTATAAACATTACGTTTACATTTCAAACATAGCCTGCCATGAAAGTGAAATGAAACAAGTTCTCACAAATATTTTTTTACTTAGCGGGTAATGTCCTAAATAGGAACCATACTTGTTTCAACTGTAGAAAAGCCTTATTTTCTAATTTTGATGATAGGTCCAGTAATAAGACCTGCTGATGATTGCGTTCCTGTTGGCTAAACCAAAACTAACATCAGGTGTGTAAGCTAGTAAAAATGAGATCTGGTTTGTGCTAAGTGTTTAGAAGCATTTAGAAGCATACAAGCACGTTTCTGGTTTTGTGAGCATAAACCTTTTAGATCATGGCTATACTGGGGATTAAATGTGAACTAACAGTAGGTCAGTTCTTTTGAATAGTTTCTCTTTAGAGGTTTTTAGGCTTTTGAGGTTCTTAGGCAAAAAACATTTGTACATGCATACATCAGTATGTAGGTTTTGTGCTCCTAGCACATACATACATCTTTCCAATTACACTTTTACACAACTAGTGTTTCTGGTGATTACTTGAGCATTAATAACATATTTTTTGTAAAAATCAGATGGAGGCTTTGTGAGGGCATATTCTTCACCTTTTGCTAAGTTAGCTTTGGCTCTGCACAAACAAAGCTATAATGATCTCTGGAAGTTTCTTCTCAGCAATTTCTATCACAAACAAGTTGGTGCACTGTGTGTAATGCAACTTCTTCGCCTGATGGCTCTATCTACTATTTGCTAAAAATCACTTAAACTTGCCCAGTTATTTTTCAAGAAATAACAGCTGTCAGAATTTCTTTCTAGGAGACCTGAAACTCAAGTTTCAAGAATGAAACTCTCTCTGCTGAAGGCAACGTGCAGGCAGTCTCTAGCACTAAGGAGACTAAGATTTCATCCAGAGTATTTCTGTATGGTGACTGGATTGGAGTGGAGGTGTGATTTTTAGATGACCTGAAATTAGGACTCAAATTCTTTGAACAGCTGAAAACAACTTGGGTATTTTTCTAGCAGCAAGCCAAAATGGACTGGCTTTTTCTCTGTCACTGTCATGAATGAAAAGAAACATTTGGGTTTTTTTCACAGTTAGTCTGTTTTCTTTTCAAGAAGTGGCATTATTTGCGAGTTTGTTTTCTATTGTTGGAATGTATGCTGGACCTAAATCTTCAGTAGTAGAGCCCTAATTCCTGGAACAGCACAAAATGAGGGATTGTTATATACTGGCGATAAAAACAGTAAGCTGAATATTCTTTGCTACTGAAACATGTTTTCTGATAATACTTTACATAAATGAAAAAGAGATGTTTCTCAGCATTTTCCAAGAAGGAATTCTCAGCAATAAGCTAGATGGTGAAAGTTAGCTGAAAAATCCTATCCTGAATCGCTGAATATGCGTATGCGATGTTAATTGAAAGAGGTGGGTTCAAGTCTTTGTCCAGCTTCTATGACTGTGTAAATGACATGAACTCATTGAGATGTTACGTTAGCCTGGGTATGTGAAGGATGTCACATTAGCTTGTTTTCTGTTTTGTTTTAGGCTTATAGTCTTTCAGCCACCTACAGTAGGTACATACTAGTTCATGTCTGCAATGACTGTGGCTTCAGTGGCTACCATGGTGAATAGAGTAGTCCAGATATAGGTTAGAGAAACCCAGGTAGAGGAAAGATAGTGGCTCACCACACACCCTGCAGACAGTATCAGAGTAGGCGTACAAACTCGTCCGTATCACTTGACTTGGAGATAATAGCCTTGGCGCTCATGACAAAAGATGTATTGCCTTTGCACTTCACCCTGTTTTAGGTACATACTCCCTAGCTTGAACAGTAGTACCGACTAGTAGGAGATATTCTTGTCAACAGTGAGTAGAGCATTGGTTGGCACTGAATTAAGAAACATAACTGAGAAAAAGGGATGAAAAGGCATTGTACTCTAGTGTTCCTACTGCTGCTTTAAGATGAGAAGCAGAAGCTTGGTACATCCTGCATAGAAAATATCAGTGCAGAAATAATGGGTTTAACAGTATTTTAAAAAGAAAAAAAGAAGAAAAAGGTAATGACAGAGCTTTGCTGAGCAGTAAACATCAGCAGAAACTATTACTTCTTAGTAATAATGCTATAGATACCTGATGGATTTGCCATTGAAGAAAAATTGTGTATCTCGATTATATATTTGTAAATATCAAAATGTGTAGTAGTTTTCCTCAGGAGATCTCAAAGTTGCTACTAGCAGAATTGCAAGTACGATCCAAGTCTTCAGAGTTCTGTTTCACTGATTTGGGATACTTACCACTTCTGATGCTTACTTGCGCCTCTGTCTTAGGGATAGTGCTTTTAGAGTTCTTAGTGCAACTGAAAGACTAAACAAAGATAGATGATAGTGCATTGCTATTGCATTTTCTCTTGGGTTTACAACCTGAAATAATGGGCAAAACATTGAAGAAAATGTGCGTGGCTGTGGTTTTCCAGAAGTGCATCATTTTTCTCAAATCAGGAGTGGATTGTAGTGGGGAGAATGTGAATAGGACTGCAAGCACAGCTTGGAAGATCCAGGAGTCATTTCAGTTGATCTTGTACAGGCACAGCATCTCTGTAATTGTCAGATCACACATGCTACTTGATGGAGTGGTAAATGGTGGGGCAGTGAAATTTCATGACTCTGGTACGTACTATTGACACTATCCACAGTCACACAGTATTTTTACCCTCAGTGATTTATCAGCAGCTGCTGTAAATGCAGTTGATGGCATGCATTAGCCAAGACACATAGTTGAACTTTGGAGGGAAAAAAATGTCAACTAACCCAAGAAGACAGACTACTGCTCACCTAACACTGCAGAAATTAATTTTAAAGCATTGTGTCTATGCATTAACTCCTGAAGTTGCCTTTCTTACTTTCATGGGCCACGGCACTGGAAGAAAGAAACAAAGTACAACTGCGTAAGTATGCAAGCTTAACATTCACTGGAACATTTCCATACTTTCCACCTGCTTGAAGGCATATTGAAAATTAATATCAAAGTGAAACAAAGAGAACAAAAGCTAATTAGTTTTAAAATTCAATCATGTTTTTGCTATTCTGTTCATGAAAAATATGTACAAACCTGATAGACAAATTAAATCAATCATGCTACCTTTTGTTCCACTTTAAAAGATGAATTGTAACTTGTCCCATGTGTAAGGTAAGAAGGCATCTCAAAAAGAAAAAATTATGTGCAGAGCAAAAATTAGACTAATTTACATTGTCTCTGTCTGCATTAGTTTTTATTGAAAATCTTTTTATATGTATCTATTTTTGAACCAACAGCGTGACATGAACAGACCAATCTGTTTTGTTCTAATTGTTCTGGTGGCCTTTAAGAGTAGATCCTCTGCCAAAGAAAAGCAAGCAGAACTGCTCCATAACAAAGAAGTATTCTTTAGCTTTCACTGAAAAGACTATGCAAGAGTTGCTTATTCTTGCTTAAGCGGCAAGAGTTCCGGAATGAAAAGTTGGGCATGGGAAAAATTCCGGAAGGATGATAATCCTTGCTGTCTTATAAAGAAGTCCTCTTCTGCAGTGAAAAGCCAGCAACAAACATACGAAGAGCTGACAAGACCCCTTGAGTCATTTCTTCTGCAAAAGTGTTGTCCGTTGGGAGGCAAAGAAAATTTGGCCTGAAGATTAGTAGTATTGTCTTTTCTGAGGATCTTCAACATGGTCCAGTGCCTCTAGATTTATGAGTGCTTTGAAATATTTTTTTAATTTATAAAGGTATTTAAATTGATGATTGTATTACAAGAGGTTATGCAAAAAGAGAGAAAGCATACAGCAGTCTGTCTATGAATCTCAGTCTGTCTTTAGGCTCATCAAGATATTCAAGCTTCTAAAAAAACCCCACAGGAAGTATCTAAAACCGGTGAGAAGAGAAGAAACACTCTAATTTTTTAAAATTGAATTGAGGTAAAAAATTATAAATCATACCTTGGACTCAATTTATGACGTTTGAGATGTAGAAGAATTATACAACATATGTTTCCAGAGTTAAATTTTGACTAGCTCCACAAAAGCCTTTGAGAGGCGAAGGAGACAAAAGACTCCGTTATGAAAACTCTAACTTTTACCATGGACCCTACTCAGTACCTTAAGAGGCAGGAGCTATAGGACTGGCATTTCATGAATCAGTGAAGGAGATATGATTAGAGAGT